TGAAAGGTAAAACAATCCAGCTTTTAGAAAAAAAAAAAAAGAATGAATCATTTCACAACCTTGCAAAAGCAGACACAGGGTGTCCATTCCCAAATAGGGAAAGGGGAGCACCCATGTGTGGGGGAACACTGGCAGCAGTAAGCAGCAGAGCCTGAGCCGAGTAAGGAGGGTGGCTCTGTGTGGGACTGGCTAGTGCATGGTGTCAAAGTTCAGGGGGACGTGGAAGTCTTCTACACAGACAGGAGGCCCAGCATAGTGTTCACAGAGCCCAAGAAGGGGAGGATGGTATCTAAGTGGAGAACAGGCCCAATACAGGGTTCAAAGTCAAAGGCAAAGTTAGGAGAGAAAGGGCAGTGCAGGGTATTAGAACCTAAGTGGATGGCAAGGACCTCTCCATGGGACCTGGTGAGAGACTGGCATTGAGATAATGGATATTTACAAAGGTATTGCTCATATAAATAAATATAAGAAAGATAATGAAAGTCAACTTTCTCACTGTTGATTAAGGGAAATTACAATATGGAAAGAGAAAACTAGAAACAGCACTATGATGTTGGACTGGAATTGGAGGTATCATGAACTCAATATATAGAGATAGATACAGAACTAAATATGGATGTGAATGTCCATGTGTTCATATGTAGATATGGGTATAGATGTCAGTATGTATGTGTACATGTATATCCAGGCATTTCCCAGCTCTATCCACTAAGATGGCCTGGGAGCAGCTATACCCAGCAACACTCACATCTAACACTCACATACTGGTTTCTAAATACAATACCATTCTCTTCTAAAACAAACCAAGGTTCCTCAAGGGAAGGGCTGATTTCAAGGCTAGGGCAGGAAAAGTATGGGATGAGATGGGAACATCTGGTTGTCTAGGCAAAAAAATGAAGAAATGTTCCAGTAATAAAGGGGACACGTCAAATGTACAGAGAAGCCAGATAAAGAAACTCTCACTGACCCCTCTAGGAAAATTTAAGCAACAATATCAATCATGTTAGCAACAGAAGATAATCCATTCCCACTGAATAAAATAGGAAACTCTGAGTTTACGAGACTCTGATTAAAGTCATGACAACTACGTGCAGTGTGAGAGTTTGAACTGGACCTTTTGTCTAACGGACAATATTGGGAGAATCAGTGAAACTTGAGTGGAGTCTGAAGATTAGATAATAGTAATGTATTAGTACTAATTTCTGGATTTTAATAGCCATATTGCGCTCTTAATGAAGAATGTCCTTATAAGTACATATCAAAGCATTCAGGAGTGATGGGACACCATGTCAGCAACTCCCTCTTAATGGTTCAAGAAAAAATGAAACATGTAGCTCCAACTTTACTTTAAGTGGATGATAACTTCAAAAATTTAAAAAAAAAAAAAAAAAAAGGAGACCGGGGTGCCTGGGTGGCTCAGTCAGTTAAGTGTCTGCCTTTGGCTCAGGTCATGATCCTGGGGTCCTGGGATTGAGCCCCTGGGACCAGGCTCTAGGAAGCAGAACCTCCTTTTCCCTCTCCCTCTGCCTATCACCCTCATTCTCTCTTTTCCTCACTCTCTTTCTCTCTCACTTCTCTCAAAAATAAACAAAATATTTTTTAAAAATCAAAACAAGTATATAAACAAATAAATAAATAAATAGGAAACCAAAAAGTCAAAAACACCAACAGAACTAAGATATTTAAGCCCATTTTCACAACTCAATTACAGACCTATTTTTTTTAATACAGAGAGACCTAAAAAATATATAATTTTGAGTAAAGAGAGCAAGCTGCAGAATAAAAGAAAATTATGGTATCATTTATGAAAATTTTTAAAACAAACAAGAGCAACCTTCTACTTTACTCAAGAACACACATGTAATTACTATAAAAATGTAAGAATGGACTGTAAGGCTATACTCTAAACTCATTATAGTGGTTTCTTGTGGTAAAAACATGGGAAAGGAGGAACAGGATAGACAGTGGTAGGGAGTTCACGTCTATGTAACGTTTTAATTTTTCTAAATAAATATAAGCCAAATACGTCAATAGAATTGTAACTGTTAATTCTGGGAGATAGAAGCAAAGGGTTATTACATCATTCTTTGCACTTTCCATTATTATTAAATTTATCAAAAAATAATATGGGGTGCCTGGGTGGCTCAGTGGGTTAAGCCTCTGCCTTCGGCTCAGGTCATGATCTCAGGGTCCTGGGATCGAGTCCCGCATCGGGCTCTCTGCTCAGCAGGGAGCCTGCTTCCTCCTCTCTCTCTCTCTGCCTGCCTCTCTGCCTACTTGTGATCTCTGTCTGTCAAATAAATAAATAAAATCTTTAAAAAATAATAATAATAATAATAATAATAATTTAATAAATAAAACATAATGAGGACTTCACATTTTACAGGCCATCTAAATGTGCATTTACTTAGCAGCCTGTAAAATTTTTAGAAGTTGGACAAATGCATCAAGAAAGTTGATATACAATACAAATTAGACAACACACTTCCCTACTTTTTAAAATATAGATTTTTTTCTGATATTTGAGCTAGAATCGTTGAATCTTTTTCAACTGAAGTATCAAATCTTTTTAAATGAGGAAAAGTTATCAACACTGTTTATGAAATCGCACCTTAGACTCTGAGGTTTAGAGCTGCTGTTCATGGTCGTCCTCCTACGCAGCTATCCTCCGTACCTGCTGTAGTGGGACAATCACACAGCATCCCAGTAATCCTCAGAATAATGTTGTTGGTTCCCAGTTGTATAGATAAGTAAACTCATGCTCACATTGGGGAGGTTACTGAATCACTGCTAAATTCAGAATGGAGTTTCAAGTACTGGCTGTGATAGACGACAATGGCTTTAAGTGATCCTGAGTATTCAGATAAGATTTCCTCAACATACATTCAGAAATGCAGTGAAGGCCCCCAAAGAAATATGTCCACCATCCACCCTCATTTTTTAGGGATGTGTTCTCTTATTAGAACTTCCAGGTTCTCTCTTACCAGAGAGGGTCTCCATGTGTAACTGTTGGTGGGAGGCCCTACACAAGAGGCCTCTTTTGAGGGGATGCCACTTACATCATAGACATCTTTATTATTTAAAAGATTTTTCTTAATGTATTAATTTTTATAACTTTGTAGGCTCCAAAGATGGGCTTTTTTATGTTAATTACAATAAGTTTTTAACACATTATTTTTTTTCTTCTGAGAATATAGGTATGATTTAGTTTACAAAAGAAAAATGTTTGAAATCCAAAGGTCTTGTTGATTTAACTTCTCAAATAAACTGTCCTAAGTAAAGAACTGCTTTCTGACTGATTGGGACGTATTTTAAAGTATGAGATTACAGCACCTGGTAAATTTGAGTTTGACATTGCAACTTACCATCTTCTTTTTATATTCTATACTAAATAGTGTAGCAAAATCCTCCCATTCAAATCCCCAAGAAATTTCTGTATAATAACAAATATTCACTTGCCATAATAATCTACATATATCACATAGACAAATTAGAGTTATGAGAGAACATTACATTTTATTAACATACTATTGGTATTGAGAGTTACATGAAATATGGTATTTGTTATGGAAATTTCATTAGTATTGAAATTAACTTATTAAATTGTGGTGGTGTTTTATCTACATCCTCACTTCAAAATACTGTAAATTATTTAGAGTATATAGTGACAAAATTAACCCCCCCATCTACAAAAATTTTCAGCAATGTGTAGTTTAACAGACACATTGCTGAAAATTTTTGTAGATGGGGGGGTTAATTTTGTCACTATATGTCATCAATGCAGAACATAAATTCTCAAAAACGCAATTTACTCAAATTGTCTACAATGCCACAAGAAAGACTATCAAATCTTCTAGAAAATGAGAAAGCACAGCAAGTAAACATTGAGACTACCATAATGAGTTTCATTTCCATGAAAGCAAAACATATAATTATATGTGATTTATAATATACTGTATCATGACTTTAAATTCCTTACTGTGACTTAAGTTTTGAAATTTCAATTATTTAAAAAAAAAGCAATTTCAATTATTTTATATTCTATCTGTAATGGTTGCCTTTGCAAAATAAGTACTACATATTCATCAAAACTTTGACTTAAAGAGCGCCATTTTCTGTTCTACACAAAGTTATCGCCTGCAGCTACGCCAGTCCTTAGTTGAACGAGCCCTTAGGTGAACGAGTTCCAGATTCCAACACAACATCCATCTTTTGCAAGTGGTTCGCCCAGGTGCACCGGAAATGTGTGCTTTGACATATGGAGATCAGTGGAGACAGCTTTAATGTGCACATTTTCATACATTTCATTATTATTTTAAGATCATTATTGGAAATCGGGGTCTTCTTTTAAGAAAACAAAAGTCCTTTCACAATATTGATTTTGGACTGTTCAAATCCCCAGACGCTGAAACTACTCCGGCAGATAGGTTGAAAAACGAGGAATGAAGCAAAATAAACAATGAAATAAAAAACGGAGAAAGTTCTAGGTGTTTGCCTGTCTCCAAGCATTGGAGCCTTTGTCCCCACAGCTCTGGTCCAACAGGTGCTGCCTTAAGAGTCCAGCTACGATAAAGATCCAAGTTCTGGGGGGCGCCTGGGTGGCTCAGTGGGTTAAGCCGCTGCCTTCAGCTCAGGTCATGATCTCAGGGTCCTGGGATCGAGTCCCACATCCGGCTCTCTGCTCAGCAGGAAGCCTGCTTCCCTTCCTCTCTCTCTGCCTGCCTCTCTGCCTACTTGTGATCTCTGTCAAATAAATAAAATCTTAAAAAAAAAAAAAAAAGATTTAAAAAAAAAATAAAAAAAGATCCAAGTTCTGGTCGCGAAGGCGGCAGGAGAAAACTGCCCAGGGAGACAGGCCCCCGGTTTGGGACGGCACAGCAAACCGCCCCTGTCCGGGGACCGGGACCCCAGCGCGCACCTCCGCCTCCCACCACCCCGACCCCGCGCGTGCCCCGCAGCGGCTCGAAGGGGCCTGCCCCCTGGTTACCAGGCAACGGGCTGCCCCGGCGCGGAGCTACTGGGCGGAATGCGTGGGGGAAGGCAGTTGGGAGGAGACCTTCAGCAGCAGAAATGAGCCCTGGTGAGAGCGGGGCTGGGGAGCTGTCTCTTGAGGGGGAGCCCTGGGAAGTGGACGGGTAGGGAGGGCGCCGTCCCCCCGCGCCCCGGCCCTTTCACCACCAAAGCGGATCCCTTCTGGAGTGCCGATCTTCCCGACCAGCCGGGCACCCTGCTCTCCCCGGGGAGAAAACCGCCACCTACATCCCCACGCCCAGCCTTTGCTTCCAGCCCTCGAGGCTCCGGGTCCCGCCGCGCTTCGTGGCCCCAGCGCGCCCTCCCGTGGCCGCTTCGGGCGCCCGCGTCCCGAATCACACGCCCCGCCTCCCTTCTCCCAACTAAGCTGAAAGCCACCTATGGTTCTGTTACAGAGAAGCATCAGGAGGAAGAGGACGAAGTTGACTGCGTTCTCCTTTCAGCGTCCAAGATCCTAAATTCCTCTGACGGGGCAAAGGAAAGTGGTGGCAGTGAAACAGGTAATATCTCCACTGCAGTGATGTTTCTGCCCCTTAACTATAGACAAGGGGTCCCCTGCCTAAATCCACAGGCCTGACAGGTGCACTTCCAGTCCACAGGTACTTCGGGGAACTATTATTATGGTACTAAAAAGAACTAACACAGCACACTTACATTGTGCCAGATGTGGTTCCAAGCATTTAAGTGTATCAATTCATTTAATCCTCTCAACAACCCTATGAAGTAGCTACTACCATCGTCCACATTTTATGAGGAAATTGAGGCACAGAGTGACTAACTCCCCAGGTCTCACAGGTGGCAAATGACAAAGCCAGTATTCGGCAGGGCAGCTCCAGAGTCCAGCCTTACCTATCATGCTACACTGTACTGCTTCTCTGAATACCAAAGAAGAATATATTAGGCAGATGATAAAAAGAGACACTTTTCCCAAAAGAAACTACTTTGTACAGGAAATATTTGTGGACTACAAGATATTGCATAGGGAGGCTATTTGAAATAAGCAAAGAGCTACAATTCCAAGCTCCACATGAACCACAAATAAGATATGTGTAAATACCCAGTTAGGGGTATCCTACTGAGAATCCTGCATTCTTACTTCCTTGAGAGAAGCTCCAGGAGGTTACACACCTCTTGGAAGAGCCTGGTGGTCAGTGTGACAAGCCAGGGAAGGAACAGAGCGCTCTGGGTAGAAGGCGGTATCTAAAGAGATGTGCTAAGTTTGGACCCCCGGTTGCCCAAAACTGACACGTGGTAAACGGGGAATCCAGACACAGAGGCACTGAAGGAAGTGACCTAAGATCAGGGCAGGATTTCTGCACCTTCCTAAACCCAGGACCTTCACAAACGCCTTATCAAAGGGCCCTGAAAGAAGAGCTAGAGCAGCCATATCTGAGTAGACCAAAGACAGCTGGATGCCCAGGAGCCATCAGTATAAGCAGCATCCCAGGGGAGGCCAGCGGGACAGTGTGGTGACCTGCCAGAACTCTTCTGTGCCCCACCATCCACAAAGACATACAGGCATCCTTGTGCATAGGAAACCTGAACAGGGAGTAAGAGTCTTCACAGAGAATAGAGAGGCTGCGACAGCTCCATCTTTACCTCAAAGAGAGTATTTAAGGTGAGAAGAAATTGATGTACTTTAATTTGGCAAGATCCTGTGTTCCCTAACATGAGTGAGATTCAGGGCTCTGGGGAAAGACGCCAGCATCACAGAAAATGAAGCTGAGTGCAAAATAGCACATACATTAAGAGCCACAGTCCATCTGGCTAAAGCAGATGGGTTACAAGTGCAGGGTCTAGCAAGGGCAGGTTTTTAGGAGCATAGATTCGAACTCGGGTGCTGCCTTCGATGGCAAAATTAGGAGGGATGACTTCGTTCTGTCCCCTTTTTCTGTTCTATCTATACCTCATTGTCACCATGTGATCCATTCCCTGAGTACTAACCAACAGAATATTAACCCCACTTGTATAAATAATGCCAAGTTTAAAGAAACTCTATAGTATTTCTGAGGTCTCTTTAATTTTAAAAGAGTAAGTGGTTAGCCTATGTAATCCTTGATTGGTTGGAATGGAGATGTGAAGGATGCTTTGAAATTTCAGTATTCACAGTGTGCGGTTTTTAGCACCCTGTTCTACCCAAGTCTTCATTCATTCATCCAACCATCCATTCATTCATTCATCTAACAAATATTTTTGAACAAGCACTGTCCTAGGTGCTGGGGATCCAACAGCAAACAAAATGTGCAGAATCCCTGCTCACACGAAGCTTACCTTCTCCTGGAAGGAACAAATGAGATCGTGTGTAAGATGGGACTTGTAAATCCCATGGAGAAAAGTAATGCACAGAGAGAGTGGGGGAGTATCGGAGGTGGGTGAGGAGTGTGCGATTTTATTTTAAGTAGGGTGGTAGGAGACTTCACTGGGCAGATCACTTCTGAGCAAAGACCTGAAGAAGTGCAGATTTCCAAGGAAAGAGCATCTGAGCAGAGAGAACAGCAACAGTGAGGGCCCTGAGGTAGGAGAATGCCTGGCACATTTGAGGAACAGCTGGGGTGAAATGGGAAAGGGAAGGGAGAGGATCAGCAAGAAAATCGTGGAGGGGGGGCACTGTAGTTCTGCGTCAGGATCTGGGGCATTATTCAGCACAAAATGGGAAACATTGAAGAGTTCAAGCAGCCATCCCTCCATTGCAACTGGAAATTTGAAATTTCCTGACTTATTATCATATCCATAATACCCTTGTCTCTGCAGTAGTGATTGGAATAAATATTTCTTGAGCATTTAGTTGGTACCATGCACTCTGCAAAGGGCTTTACCTACAAACTAGATAACTGCTTGTGTTGTCCCTCATAGCAAGTGTATGGCAAAGCCAGGATTCAAGCACAGGCAGCCTGACTCTGTAGCTTCCCTGACAAAGCCCCAAGCAGACGGTGTCACGCCTCATTAGGCTCTGTAAAACAGTTCCTTCTAGGAATGAATTTATATTGTCAGAGCAAAACTCTGCATTTGAATCTGAGAATGACAAAGCTTTGGCTACAGAGTACCTAACATTTTATATTGAGTCATTACTATGTTGCATTTTAAAAACTTGTTTGTTCTCCTTCATCTGTTAGCTACAGGTATGCACTTAATACAGACATATCTCAGAGATATTGTGGCTTTGGTTCCAGACCATTGCAATAAAGAGAATGTCACAATAAAGTGAGTTATATGAATTTTTTTGTTTCCCAGTGTCTATAAAAGTTATGTTTATATTACTGTAGTCTACTAAGCGTGCAATAGCATTGTCTATTTTTTAAAAATGTACATAAAAATGTACGATTAAAAAATACTTTTTTTTTTTAAGATTTTATTTATTTATTTGAGAGAGAGACAGTAAGAGAGAGCATGAGAGGGGAGAAGGTCAGAGGGAGAAACAGACTCCCCGTGGAGCTGGGAGCCCGATGTGGGACTCATCCAGGGACTCCGGAATCATGACCTGAGCCGAAGGCACTTGTTTAACCAACTGAGCCACCCAGGCCCCCTAAAAAATATCTTTTGCTAAAAAATGTTGACCATCATCTAAGCTTTCAGCAAGTTATTGTCACTGATTACAGATCACCATAACAAATATAATAACGAAAATTTTTGAAATTTTGTGAGAATTACCAAAATGTGACAAGAGACACAAAATAAGCAGATGCTATTGGAAAAAATGGCACCAATCAACTTGTTTGACACAGGGCTGCCGCAAACCTTCAATTTGTAAAAAATCGCAATATTTGCAAAACATAATAAAATGAGGTGTGCCTGTACGTTGACTATGACATAATCCTCTGCAGGTTTCAGAATAAATTCCCCATATCTTTAATTACTTCGAAAGCCATCCCACTGATAACTATCTTGTTTTTCACTCCTCACATTTAAATATGAGACAGCTAGACAATTTAATTCAATATAATATGAATACTATTTCTTGCATTCCCAGTAGAGTATCAGCTTCCAGGGCTGGGACCATATCTTTCACTTTATCTACACACCTCTCAATATTGCATGTTTATCAAAGACTTAATAAATGATGACCTGTGATTGTGTTCCCCCTCCTGTGCCTCTTTGGTAATTTCCCTTCCAATTCTAGAATCATATAATTCTATGTGGTTATTTAAGTATTACTGAATTTTAAGATTAGCTTTCCTTTGGGAATAAGTAGTAGCCAATGTCTCCAAAACTCATAAAAAAAAAACAAAAATTTTTCCTGATAGGCTTTAGAAAGCAATAAATCAAAACTACTCCAAATAACTATTTCACTCTTATTGTTTCCTCAATCTCTAAAACCCTTCACCACTACCTCTAAAGTCATTACATAATCTCACACTGAGTGGAAAAAAAAAAAAAAAAAAAAAACAAGCAGCATTCAGATCCAAACTCCATGACCCTCAAACTTAAAATTTGCTGACCTACCTGCTTGTGTACCCATATTATCCGCTGTCCTCCATTTCTTGTTTGTCAAGTTTTCATTTAAATTCCAGTTAGTTATCATACAGTATAATATTAATTTCAGGTGTACAATACAGCGATTCAACACTTCCAAACTTCACCTGGTGCTGGTCACGCAAGTGCCCTCCTTAATCCCCATCACCTGTGTAACCCATCCCCCTCACCCCTCCCCTCTGGTAACCATCAGTTTGTTCTCTAGAGTTCAGAGTCCACTTCTTGGTTTGCCTCCTTTTTTCCCCCTTTTGCTCCTTTGTTTTTTTTCTTAAATTCCACATGAGTGAAATCATATGGTATCTGTCTTTCTCTGACTTATTTCATTTAGCATAATACTATCTCCACCATGTCACTGCAAATAGCAAGATTTCATTCTTTTTTTATAACTGAATAGTATCCCATATATATGTATACACACCACTTCTTTATCCATTTATCAGTCGATGGACACCTGGACTATTTCCATAATTTGGCCATTGTAGATAATGCTACTATAAATATCAAGGTGCATGTATTCCTTTGAATTCGTATTTTTTTTTTATTCTTTGGGTAAATACCTAGTAATACAATTGCTGGTTCATAGGGTAGATCTATTTTTAATCTTTTGTGGACCCTCCACACTGTTTTCCATAAAGGCTGCACCAGTTTGCATCCCCACTAACTGTGCAAGAAGGTTCCCCTTTCTCCACATCCTCACCAGTACCTGTTGTTTCTTATGTTGTTGATTTTAGCCATTCTGACAGGTGTGAGGTGATGTCTCATTGTAGTTTTGACTTGCATTTCCCTAATGATAAGTGATGTGGAGCATCATGTGTTGTTGGTCATCAGTATGTTTTCTTTGGAAAAATGTCTATTTGTGTTAACTGATCATTTTTAAATTAGATTATTTATTTTGGGGTATTGATTTGTATAAGTTTTTTTAATATATTTTGGATACTAGTCCTTTATCAGATATGACATTTGCAAATATCTTCTCCAATTTGTAGGTTGCTTTTTAGTTTTGTTAATGGTTTCCTTTGCTGTGCAGAAGCTTTTTTATTTTGATGTAGTCTTAATAGTTTATTTTTGCTTTTATTTTTCTGGCCTCAGGAGACATACCTAAAAAGAATGTGCTATGGCCAATGTCAAAAAAGTTACTGCCTGTGTTCCCTTCTAGGATTCTTATGATTTCAGGTCTCACATTTAGGCCTTTAATCCATTTTGAATTTGTTTATGTTGAAGTATTAGAAAGTGGCCCATTTTCATTCATTTGCATGTGGCTGTCCAGTTTTCCCTACACCATTTGTTGAAGAGACTGTCCTTTTCCCACTGGATATTCTTTCCTGGCTTATTAAGGGTTAATTGACCATATAATTATGGGTTTATTTATCAATTTCCTATTCTGTTCCGTTGATCTATGTGTGTTTTTGTGCCACTACCGTACTGTTTTGATGACTACAGTTTTGTAATAGAACTTGAAGGCTGGAATTGTGATGCCTCCTGGTTTGCTTTTCTAGTTGAAGATCACTTTGGCCATTCAGATTATTTGTGGTTCCATGCAAATTTTAGGATTGTTTGTTCCAGTTCTGTGAAAAATGCTATTGGTATTTTGATAAAGATTGCGTTAAATATGGAGATTGCTTTGGGTAGTATAGACATTTAACAATACGTGTTCTTCCAATCCATGAGGATGGAATGTCTTTCCATTCCTGTGTGTCACCTTTGATTTCTTTCATCAGGGTTTTAGAGTTTTTAAAGTACAGGTCTTTCACCACTTTGGTTCAGTTTATTCCCAGGTATCTCATTGTTTGGGGAGCAATTGTAAATTGGATTGATTCCTTACTTTCTCTTTTCTGCTGCTTTATTATTGATGTATAGAAATGCAACAGATTCCTGTGTGTTGATTTTGTATCTTAAATTTACTGAATTGGTTTATCAGTTCTAACAGTTTTTTGGTGGATTTGTTAGGGTTTTCTCTACACAGAGTATCGTGTCATCTGCAAATAGTGAAAGTCTCATTTCTTCCTTGCCCATCTGGATTTTCTTTTGTTGTGTGATTGCTGTGTCTAGGACTTCCAATACTATGTTGAATAATGGTGGTTTGAGTGGACATCCTTGTCTTGTTCCTGACCATAGAGGAAAAGCTCTCAGTCTTTCCCCATTTAGCTTGATATTAGCTGTGGATTTTTCACAGATGGACTTTATTAGGTTAAGGTGTGTTCCCTCTAAACCGACATTGTTGATGGTTTTTACCATGAATGGATGTTGTACTTTGTCAGATGCTTTCTCTGCACCTACTGAAATGATCACATGGTTCTTATCCTTTCTCTTATGAATGTGATGTATCATGTTGATTGATTTGAAAATACTGAACTGCCTTTGCAATCCAGGAAGAAATTCCACTTGATCTTGGTGAACGATCTGTCTAATGTATTGTTGGATTGGGTTTGTTAGTATTTGAGAATTTTTGTAACTATGCTCATCAGAGATATTGGCCTGTAGTTCTCTTTTTAGTGTTGTCTTTATCTTGTTTTGGTATCAGAGTAATGTTGGCCTCATAGAATGAATTTGGAATTTTCCTTCCTTTTCTATTTTTTTTTAATAGTTTGAGAAAAATAGGTGTTAAGGACTTTTGTCGCTGTTTTTAAGATTTTTTTTCTTTATCACTATATGTTGCAAATTTAATTAGGCAATTTTTCAGCTATTATTTCAAATAATTTTTTGTTCTATTAAAAAGAAACATAAATTTAATACTACTTATCAAAAGTAACATGTATAATATGATCCCACTGTTCTAAAATAATTTCTTTTTTTCTGCATATATGCATAGAGAGCTGACTGAAAGGAGAGTACCTAAAATCCATAATGATTGATTCTGGGTGGTAGGCTTCTAGGTAATATATTGGTTTGGATTTGCAATTTGAGTTCATTTAGAAGTTGTCTTAGAGTCTGAAAAACTTTGGGATGACTTGTTACATTTTTCCAGATCTCACTTGGGTTTTGTTTTGTTTTTTTTTAAATCTCTCTAAGATGAACATTTCAGACTACTGTTTTATTCCTACTAAGATACAAAGCTGAGCAACATCCAAACAGACTTACTGTCCCTCCCTGCCCTCTGATGAAGGTGGGATTCTTCAATTAAGCAAATAGCTCTAGGCTCTAAACCTCTCAGTGATGAGTGCCAGTTGCCAGATGGGGGTGGGAGGGTTCCTATACTCTGCAAACCATCTCCTATAACATCTGGCAGACTGTCATTCCAAAGGAGAGATGTGCTGACCTCTTTTAAAAACTTCTCTCAGGGCAGAAATTGTCAGCCTAGGGGCTGACATCATAACTCTCATTTCATTTGGGACACTGAATGGTTTTTAAATCACTTAATAAAAATTTACAAAGCAAGCAAAAAACCTATTTGGACAAAGAGAGATGTATGTCAGGAAATTTGCAAATGGTTTATAGTCTCTCCCCTGTTAGAGGTCCATAACCTATTTTCTAGGAAGGAACACAAGGATCTTTATAGTACTTTGCTTAAGAGCATGACAAAAATTGTGCTGGTAAGTCCAATTTGTTTTCCATGATGAGGAAAAACATCACATGGCCATTTCATAGATACTGAGACCTACACAGTGCTTTGTCAAAGGTCTCCCATTACAGGATTATTAGTTTTAGTTTTTTTAATGCAGTTTATATTGCAGAAACAAAGATAATTGAGTTTTTGAGAGTTCCAAGTTTGGCATTACAAGTTAATGGTTTATTATAAAAGTAAAACCATTATTACAATCTCAAGTAGGTATTTTAAGCCAAGTAAAAATTATTTCTTGACCTTATTATGTGACTAGCATTGGGTTCTTCCTAATATGAACATCAAATTCTCATATCTCTGTCTCACTATCCAAGAAAGTTAGGAGACTATTTTCTATTATAGTTGTTTAAAAATAAAACTTAAGAATTCGATCATATGGTTTTTCAATTTTCTTTTTAGAATATGGCTGCATATCAGAATCAGAAAATCAAATACAACCACAATCAGCACTGAAAGTAAGTTCATTTTCATTTCATTTTTTTTCCCAAATACCTGTGTAAAGGCTGATCTCTTTCAGAATAAATACTTCCAAAATGCACGTGGATTTTTCACAAAAATCTTCATGAAAATACATTGGAGAATTAGCAAGAATGACTTAAGAATGTGAGTCCTTTGACCCTCATGTGATCATTTCTGTTAATAGGCAACTTTGGGGAACATATATAATAAGAAATAATAGCAATTTCAAAATGGTTCAATTTCATACCATGTTTCATTTTATGACAGGCCCTTCAGCATCAGCTGGAATCATTTCAGGCTCTCCGAATACAGACTTTGCAGAATGTTAGCATGGTATGTTTCTTTTAATCTCTATTGGGAAATACCCAAACTTAAGATATCACCTCACATTTCCAAGCTAATGAGCACTAGCCAACTGATTAGTTCATGTAGAATGTAATAAAATAAGGCCACAACATATTCCAGGCTCAAAACTTGAGGGAAACTACATTCTATTATAGTTGAATTTGGATGCTACCGATATATAGTCTACAAATGGGAACTCTCATTATAAGTGATCTGAAATCTAACTCAAATTAACCCAGGGAAAAAGTATAATTTATTAGCACAGGTAACTGAAAATCCTAGGGACAGTTCACTTGGCAGTGGCTTAATCCATATGATCAGGCCTTCGGTCATCAGAAACCCATCTCACTCTTTATTTTGGTTCTACTTTCCACTGTACTGGATTCTCAGATTCCATGTGGTACCAAAAGAGCTGCTAGAAGCTCTAGGCTTTTATCCTTCCAGATTCCAGTCAGCGAAGAGACCATGTTTTTTCCTCCCTTAACAGTTTATACTGAAGTTCTTGGCCTGATTCTGACTGCCTGAGATTGTGTCATATGCAATGCTTGAATAAATAAATCACTGTTGAAAGGAAGGCAGTGTTCTGACTGGTTAGCTCTCAGTCATACACAGCTGAAAGTGGGATCACCAAAGGCACGCGGACTTTATCCAGAACAAATGAGGGATAGTACTAACAGAAGGATAGGGTATGGATACTGGCGGTGCATAACACAACACATACTCACTAAAGACCCAATATAAACTTCATCGTGATATTCTTATACTAAAAGCAGCTGCAGGGAAATGGCAAGAGAAGACAAACTCCTCCTGAGGGGGACAGAAGATTTGATTCTGATGACAGAGATCAAAAGTCTCTGCTTTATTCAACAATATAAAAAATCAAAATCCAAAATTACTTGAATGTAGTTCTTAAAATTTTATCATTTTACTAAAGTTTTTCTGATAATATAAAGCCATATAATAATATATCATATCTATATAATATACATATGATATAATAAAGCCATAATTTTCTTTAAAATTTTTACTTTTTGTTAAAAATTCCTTTAATGATAGAGATTATTATAAATTAAATACATTTGTTTTATCTTCTATATATTGGGAAAGAATTTTTAGGTCCAGGAAATTTAAAGGTATCTTTTAATTGTAGTATCTATTATCCCTATACATTCATATGTTTCATATGTTTATAAGTTTATAAACTATAAGTTTGTAAGTGTATAAATCTGAAATCAAATTCTAACATCAATTTATCTTTTAAAGGTACAGTCTGAAATCAGTGAAATCTTGAACAAAAGTATTATTGAAGTAGAAAACCCACAATATAGCTCAGAAAAAAATCTAATATTCGGCACATGCATTGAAAAAGCTTTGGTATGTTATTCTGTACAAAACTATTTCTATATTCAGTCACTTCAAAAACGTTACTACAATCAGTTTATCTTCACCTTTACATTCTTAACCTTCTTCAAGGGTCAAATGGACTGTCAGAGGAATACCTAAAATATTCCCAAGTAAATTGAAATATAAGGCGGATTTTTTTTAGCCTGTCTATCCACTTAAGAATTTTTCTGCTTTTAGGATTGACCAAGACCTGAGGTGAATTCTTTAGAAACAGGTTGGAACCACAGTCACTCTGTCTACCCTGATTAGAACTCACATTTCTAGAATAGTCACAGCCCTAGAGTCATCTGAAATAGGAATGCAAGCTAAGGTTGACAAATAGCCCAGAGTGGAAATACTCATTTTCCTTAAATTTCCTATTGCATTTGACCTATTGCTTCTATCTTCCCCATCTATCTACAATGGTCTCTTAAGGGGTTCTAAATTTCTATTTCTGATATTGAATGGTTGGCCCATGTATGTCAGCCTCTGAGGAAATAAGTATAATTTCTAAGCAAATTGTGAAGACCAGAGTTACAGATCTCAAAACAACTGCTGTTAGATTTTTCTGGAGAAAATGAGTCATATTCACTAGGCTTCTTTGCCTATAGAAATGGATAAAATGTTCATCTGGGCTGTAAAAATAAATCCTCCACAAAATATTTTCTTGATTTTCTTGTCATGTGGCAAATGATAGTACATTTTTACTATGCTTTTTATTGTCACCAGCCTATGGAGAATCAAGAAGAAGTCCTTTCTATGGAGAAAATTCATCCTTTTGGGGAGTCCAACACTATTCATTCAACAGATGAAAAATTCAACAGTGATACTGTTAACAGTCTCTGTCAAGGTATAGATATTCCATCCCAGACACATTTCAAGGACCTATTAACCTGGAGAACTTCAACAGATAACTCAGCTTCAAACATAATTATGAGCCCTTCAGAAAATTCTGACATATTAAAGAATTATAATAACCTTTATAGTTTTCTACCTCATGCACCTCAAAATGTGATGTCTCAAGCTGATACAGTAATTCTGGATAAATCCAAAATGACTGAGCCTTTCCTCAAGCATGGATTTTGTGAAAATTTAGATGATATCTGCCATTCTATCAAACAAATGAAGGAAGAACTACAGAAGTCACATGATAGAGAACTGGCACTTACAAATGAACTTCAGACTTTAAAAACTGACACAAATGTTCCAAGAAATGGTAAATATGACCTGTCCCACAGTCACAAGGAAAAAATTAACTTTATTAAGGAAGAAAATATAGAAAGCAACTTAAGTGAAGATATAAAATCAAAGAGAATTTCAGAATTAGAGGCATTAGTAAACAAATTACTCCCATTCAGGGAAACAGTATCAAAATTCCATGTGAATTTTTGCAGGAAATGTAAAAGGTTATCCAAGAGTGAAATGCACAGGGGAAAGAGAAGTGAGAAAAACAGTAAAGAAATTCCTATCACTGGCAAGAATATTACAGATTTAAAATTTCATTCCAGAGTTCCAAGACATACATTGTCATTCTTTGACCCAACAAAATATGAAATGAAAGACAAAGAGACAAGACCACTATCAAAACAAGGACCAATAATGTTTGAAAATGAGAAAACATCCAAAGTCAATTCTGTTACTGAGCAGTGTGTTGCAAAAATTCAGTACTTACAGAATTACCTAAAAGAATCTATGCAGATACAGAAAAAAGTAACAGAACTGGAGAATAAAAATCTAACCCTTAAGAACAAAATAAAACCTCTTGTCTTTACTACACAATCTCTGATACAGAAAATCGAAACATATGAAAAGGAACTTAAGAATTTGGTTGAAGAAAAGAATGCTATTCAGTCCAAGTTAATTAAAACAGAAGAAGATGGTAAAGAATGTCTTAAAGAATTGAAAAAAATAATTAGTAAATATAATGTTCTTGTAGGACAAAACAAAACTCTAGAGGAAAAAAATAGTCAACTTTCTTTGGAGAAGCAACAAATGATAGAAACATTAGATCAACTAAAAAGTAAAGAACACAAAACTCAGAATGATATGGCCATTGTCAATAATGAAAATAATCAAATGATTATGGAAATGGAATCAATGAAAACAAATATTCTATTGATACAAGATGAAAAGGAAATGCTAGAGAAAAAAACATACCAGCTTCTAAAGGAAAGAAGCTCAGTTGAAAACGAACTGAAGGAAAATCAGCTAGAGATAATGCAGCTAAAAGAGAAAGTAAGGTTGGCAAAAACTGAACAAGAGACACTTCTTCAAATAATAGAAACAGTTAAAAATGAAAAACTTAATCTTGAAACAACATTACAAGAATCTATTGCTGCTAGACAAATGATGGAAAGAGAAATGGAGAATATTCAAACCTACCAATCTACTGCAGAGGAAAATTTTCTGAAAGAAATAAAAAATGCAAAATCAGAAGCAAGTATTTATAAGAATAGTTTGTCAGAAATGGGCACTGAATGTGAAATGTTATCAAAAATGGTAATGGAAATTAAAACAGATAATCAGATTCTAAAAGAAGAACTAAAAAAACATAGTAAGGAAAATATAAAATTTGAAAATAGCATCAGTAGACTTGCAGAAGATAAAATACTTTTAGAAAACTATGTAAGAAGTATAGAAAATGAAAGGGATACCTTAGAATTTGAGATGCGGAATCTTCAAAGAGAGTATTTAAATCTAAGTGAAAAAATCCGTAGTCCACAGAAGGACCCATCAAAAAAGGATTATATTTCAAGAAGAGAGAAATTCCATTTGGACAACTATGATACTTATGAAGACACCTCCAGTCCCAGGAGTAGGCCTTTGGCTCCTGATTTGAAAGGTATGTGATATTGTGGTGAATTAGTAGAGATGTGTTTAAGATTTTTCTCACCCATTGAGCACTAGCCAGAGTACAGTAATAAGGAGGAAACTTTTAAGATGAATACAATTTAGTCTTGTAAGATTTGTATCCAATTTATTATATATTAGAATTATTTAGGACCTTTGCTCTTTGGGAGCACCTGAGTGGCTCATTCGGTTAAGTGTCTGTCTCTTGATCTCAAGTCTTGATCTCAAGTCTTGATCTCAGGGTCATGAGTTCAAGCCCCTCATTAGGCTCAATGCTGGGCATGGAGCCTACTTTAAAAAAAAAAAAGAGAGAGAGAAAAAGGAATTTTTCTCTTTTGATAAGACTCATGTTGTTACTTATATCACTTCTCTACATTGTATATGCACACAGCAACTTTGACAGAGAGCAGGGATTTTCTTTCTGTTTTATCAAGTATACTTGGCACTCCCACGATTAAAAAAAAAAAAAAATTCTTTTTTTTTCCAGGAATTCCAAGTCAACTATATCAATTGCTTCCATCCAAGATATGTAAATAAATTTCTAAAATCAATGTTTCAAAATCCTTTGTCCAGTACTTTTTTCTCCACAAAATTATTTTTTAATTTATTTATTTGAGAGAGAGAACATCTGGGGGGGGGTGGGGAGGGTTAGAGGAAGAGGGAGAGAGAGAATCTCAAGTAGTTTAAAAGAGCAATTAACATATAAAAGATAGTTCTAGAACTCTGCCAAACCATGGAGGAGCTGGGCGAACGCTTTCCAAGTCATAGGGACTGAAGAATGACACCTTAAAAGCACAGATGAGAACAGAGTGTGGTTGCCCTGGCTGCCTGCCTCAGTAAACCTGGGACGACAAGCACGCACCAGCCCCAGCTGTGATGGGACACAAAAAAAGCTATAGCTTAAAAGGGGAAAGGAGGGGAGCCTGGGCGTCTCAGCTGAGCGACCAGCTCTTGATTTTGGCTCAGGTCGTGGTCCCAGGGTCCGGGACTGGAGCCCCATGTGGAGCTCCATGCTCAGTGGGCAGTCTGCTTGAGATCCTCTGCCCCCCATGCCCCTCCCCCCATCCTCGTTCTGGCGCATGCACGCTCTCCCCCTCTCTCTCTAAAATAAATAAATCTTTAAGATAAAAATAAGAAAATAAAAGGGCAAAGGAACCGCGGGAACACTCCCTGAATCCGAGGGACTGCTCAACACCACAGCTAGCCCTGGAACTGCAAGCCCACGCTAACCCCAGTTGCACCTGGGCATGGGGGGGGGGGTTTAAATTAAGAAAAAAAAATGCTTTTTTATATTTGTTTTTTCCTTTTATTTCTATTCTTTTTTTTTTCTTTTCCCCCCCTTCGCCCCTTTTTCTTTTCTTTAAAATGATTAAGTTTAACATTGCGCCTGGCATATGAGACAGCACTAGAACTCCACCAGAGGCTAGGGGAGCTTCCGGAACACACTCTGGGTGGGAGGGTCTGGTGGATATGGTTTACGCTCCCCCTTGAAAGCATGGTCCAGGTACCCTGGCTGACCTGCCATCTCAGTGAGCCCCAGACCTGTAGCCACATAAGCCCCAGCCATCCCATCAAGGCAGCCAAAGGACAGTGCGCACCAGGACACCTCTGGATAGCGGTCCCTCACACCAAGGTGACACAGGTGCAAAGCACCCTAGAACACAAGAGGCCCTCACCACTTCGCCTTCAGACAGTTTATTAGGGCTCCCTAGGTGCAAAGCGCTCCAGAACCTTTGAGTGGATGTCTGCCTCAGACCCAGCTGTCTGGCAGGGTGCCCCTCACACAGAGCACCCTAGAAACCTTGGCTGGTGTTGCATTGGTTTCAGCCATCCCACAGGTACCCCTATACAAGGCACCCTGGAACACACCTGCCTGTACCAAACTCAGTTCCAGCGGCCTGGCCAGAAGACCCTCCTAACTGAGAACATGGTGCACTGTGGCTTGCACCCAATTCAGCTTTAGCTGTCCTGCTAAAGGTGCCCCCTTTGCAGAGCATCCCAGGATCTCCTGGCCTGTCCCACATCTCAGAGTCAACTCTCCCTTCAGGATACTCACAGATAGTCCTGGAACACTCATTTATATCTACATCAGCTTCACTATCCTGCCAAGGTGTCCTCTGTACATAGAGACCCAACCCTCCACCCCCACTCCCGAGTGCATCCACTTGAGCTCAGCTGTCCTGCCAGGGCATCATCTGCGGTGAGCTCAGGGACCTCCTGTGCACAACACCTAGGCTTCAGCTTCCCCCTGCTCTGGGCACACCTTGCTCAGAGGATCCCAGGGCACCCCAGCTTATACCCACATTAGCTTCAGCTGTCCTGCCAGGGTGCCATCAACACAGAGAATCTTGGGACACCTTGGCTTGTGTCCGCTTCAGCTTCAGCTGCCCTGCTGGGCCTAAAGACACACAAACTGGAAGTGAAGTGTTGGAAACACAGTTACCATGCAAATGGGCATGAGCAGGGGCAAAGCCAGAGTAGCAATATTTATATCACACAAAATAGATTTTTAAACAAAGACTGTAACACGAGGCAAAGAAGGGCATTACGTAATGATAAAGGGATCAAACCAACAAGAGGACATAACAATTGTAAATATCTACACACAAAACACAGGAGCCCTTAAACACAAAGCAAATATTAACAAAGAGAAGAACTGACAGGAATGTAATAACAGCAGGGGATTTTAACACTCCACTTGCATCAGTGGATAGATCATCCAGACAGAAAATCCATAAGGAAACAGTGTCTTGTAATGACATATTAGACCAGATAGACGTAACATACACAGAATAGTCCACCCAGAAACAACAGAATACACATTCCTTTCAAATTCACATGGGGCATTCTCCAGAATAGATCACATATTAAGCCACCAAACAAGCCTCAATAAATTTCAGAAGATTGGATTCATACCATGCATCTTTTCTGACCACAATGGTATGAAACTAGAACTAAATCACAAGAAATAAATTGTAAGAAACACAAACATGTGAAGGCTGAACAACATGATACTTGAACAACCAGTGGGTCAGTGGAGCAAAGAATAAATATTAAAAAGTACACAGAAACAAATGAAAACATGATGATTCAAAATCCTTGGGACCCGAAAAATGAGTTCTAAGACTATATAGCGATACAGGCTTACCTCAAGAAACAAGGGGGGAAAAAAAAAAGTAAAAGCTCAACCTAACCCTACACCTAAAGGAACTAGGAAAAGAGAAACAAAACCAAAGGTGAGTAGAAGGAAGCAAATAATAAAAGAGCAGAAATAAATGACAGATGCACACACACACACACACACACACGCACACTCAATGAAACCCAACAGATGGTTCTTTGAAAAAATAACTAAAATTTATAAACTCTTAGACTTATCAAGGAAGAAAAGAGAAAGGATCCAAATAAATAAAATCAGAAACAAGACAGAATAACTGACATCACAGAAATACAAAGGATTATAAGAGAATATCATGAAAAATTATATGTCAACAAACTGGGACAGAATGGATAAATTCCTAGAAACACAAAGTCTTCCAAAACTGAATCAGGAAGAAATAAATATTCAAACAGGCCAATTACTAGTAATAAAACTTAGCCAGTAATCAACCATCAAAAAATAAAAGTCCAGGACTGGGATAATTCACAGGTAAATTCTACCAAACATTTAAAGAAAAGTTAAAACCTATTCCCTTCAAACTATTCCAAAAAATAGAGAAAGGAAAGCTTCCAAATACATTCTATGAGGCCAACATTACCCTGATACTAAAAGCAGAAGACACCACAAAAAAGAAAACATGGGTACAAAGATCCTCAACAAAGGGAGAATTGGGTGGCTCAGTTGGTTAAGCATCTGCCTTCAGCCCAGGTCATGATCCCAGAGTCCTGGAATCGAGTTCCACATCTGACTCTCTGTCCAGCAGGGAGTCTGTTTCTCCCTCTTCCTCTGTCCCTCCTCCATTCATCCTCTCTCTCTCTCTTTCTCAAATAAGTGAATTTTTTTTTAAAGATACTTAAAAAATCACAAACCGCATTCAACAATACATTGAAGGGATTACTCACCACAATCAAGTGGGGTTCATTTTAAGGATGCAAGAATGGTTCAATATTCACAAATCAATATAACACACCACACCAACAAAACAAAGGATAAAAATCATATGATCATCTCAATAAACGCAGAAAAAATTTGATAAAATTTACTATCATTTCATGATGAAAAAAAAATTTCAACAAATTGGGTTTAGAGGAAATATACCTGAACATAAGAAAGGCCATTTTTAAAAAATCCACAGCAAACATCTTACTCAATGGACAAAAACTGAGAGCTTTTCTTCTAAGATCAGGAACAAGACAAAGATGTCCATTCTTGCCACTTTTATTCAACATAGTACTGGAAGTCCTAGCCACAGCAATCAGATGAGAAATAAGAAGCATCCATATTGGTAAAGAAGTTAAAACATCACTATTTACAGATGACATGATACTATACATAGAACACCCTAAGGACTTCACCAAAACAAACAAACAAATGTTAGAAATAACCAAAAAAACCTGTTAGAAGTAACAAATGAACTCAGTAAATTTGCAGGATACAAAACACCCAGAAATTGGCAGCATTTCTATGTACTAATAATGAAGTAGCATAAAGAGAAATTAAGAAAATAACTCAATTTACAACTGTACCAAAAAGAATAAAATATCTAGGATCTTATTTAACTAACAAAAGAGGTAAAAGGCCTACACACTGAGAACTATAAAACACTGATGAAAGAAATTGAAGATGACACAAACAAATGAGCTTGGGTTAAAAGAATTAATATTGTTAAAATGTCCATATCACCCAAAGGAACCTACAGATTGAATGCAATCCCCTATCAAATACCAACAGCATTTTTCACAAAATGAGAGCAAAAATTACTCAGATTTGCATAGAATCACAAAAGACCCTGAATAGTCAAAGTAATCTTGAGAAAAGGCAGGGGGAAGGGACAAATGTGTGAAGAGGAGTGGAAAATGGAGGCTTTCAGTTATGGAATGAATAAGTTACAGGAATAAAAGGCACAACATAAGAAATATAGTCAATGATATTGTAACAGCATTGTGTGGTGACAGATGGTAGCTACACTTGTAGTTAGCATAGCATAATATTTAAACTTGTCAAACCACTATGTTATAAACCTGAAGCTAATGTTACATTGTGTGCCAACTACTTTCAAATAAAAATTAATTTTTAAGAAGTACTGATGCTCACAAATGTGAAAAACTATGGTCTCACATTTTCCTTTACTATAAAATTATACAAATGGCAAAAAAAAAAAAGAATGAATTTGGGTATTGAAAGAAGAAGTAAAGGTGAGCATTGTATCAATTTAAATACAGAATTAAGACTAAAGACTTAGTTACAAAATAGACAGTTACAAAATAGAATATTGTGCTAAAACCGCTGCCAAAAACCTAAGTAGATCCTTTTACTTTTAACCTATGTGTTTACATTGAAAGTGGGTTTATTTTAGAAAGCACATAAATGGGTCTTTCTTTTTA